CATGTTCACGGTGTGCAAAACATCATGTACGACAACTCTCCAGCTATGTAATGGTTCGCCGAATTAGTTTGGGGAGTTCTCGCATTTAATTTTCTCTTCTTTTTCAAATAAAAATAGCTTATATCAATTGTGTTTGAATATCTGAACATTTTTGATCAATATCAAGAATAAGATCCAGATCTGCCACCTCTTTGCCTGATGATAATATATAATTATATTTTTTCCAATTTTCAAGCCATTTTGTATAAACTATACATAAAAAGAATGCAAATTATATCTGCTTTGGAAAACGAGATTTACACACTTACCATTGTAAATGTAATCAGAATCGTTAGCAATACGAACTGAAGTAGCACCTGCTTTTCTGGCCAGTATGAAAGCTTGTCTAACACACTGAATTTCAAAAAATAGAAGATTTTCATCGTCGCTAAATTATCATTTTTCTCAAAACCTACTTGTAAACTTGCTGATTGTAACGTTTCATCCGATACAGTCGAGTTGATAACTGAGCGTTTTCAAGACATTGAATTGAAATTCCACCTGTATTTTCTTTATCGTTGTACGAAGTACAACAGACAAGTGTTATGGAATAATTGGTTCCTTTTTCAGAAGCTTTTAATGAAACAGAATTTGAGATCTAGTAGCCATTTAAGATCTATAAGAAAGAACGTGGAAAAGCTTTCAATTCTTGATAGTCAAATAAATTACCACAAGGAGTCGTCGAATCTCCAACATACTCTTAGTTTTATAGTGAACGTTTAAATAATCTCTTGCAAGTTCACTTTTTCTATCGTATCAAAAATAAGCAAAGAAGATAATTACAGATACTATATCCACAAAAAAAGTTCTATTGCATCACAAGAAATACTGTAACAAACATAATTATTTTTCTCCTTCTTCTTCGGCGATTGTTTGTACTAAATATCTTCCTACTAAAGTAACATCGAATTCAATTTTTTCTGATGTATTCAATTCATTATGATCAATCTGTGTATCTTTCCATTGGACAAAGAGAAAATGAGATGTATCATCTTGAAATACTATTTGGGGTAGCATACTATCACGAACACTTTCAACTGGATAATACAAAGCATCACTTTTTGGACGAGCAAGTAGTTGACCATCATCATCTTTAAAATCGCTAGAGAAAACCCACATTGGTTTCCAACAGAGAATAACTAAATTTGGCTTTTAACAGTACACATTTCCACTTTGAATCAGAAGCCTGAAATTTACAGAGAGAGTGTTAAAAAGTAGAAAAACAACAAAAATTCAGCTGTTCGAGAGTCAGACATCTTCAAAAGAGAAAAGGTAACTAACGTTAATTTAGAGACGAATAGGAGTCGAGTTATTTAACCAAAAATACGTTTAGTGTGAGAAACAAAATTCAGCGACAACTAAAAAGCTAAGTTTATTACTTTTACTCAAATGGTTTATTGACAGAAGGTAGCAACGAGAACTTCTTTTCAAGGTTTGACTGGTTTGGAATCGAAAACACTTACTAAACGATATAGAATTGTATCAACATCACGAACAAAGGCTAAGAAATCGTTGCTGCTGAGTCGTGCTAGTTCTGGTAATTCTGACGCCTCAACTAGTTCAGTGTGAACGATATTAGACAAGTCAAGCGGTAATTCATATTCGTTGAATTCAATTGAGTTTAGTGAATGATCTAATACGTTTGCTGTTGTTTCTGCCGTCATTTCCCCTTCCTGTTGCTGTTGATCAAAATGTTCATGAGATTCCAAATCACTAACGTCAATTTCTTCTTTTAATTTAGGTTCACTCATTAATTCAACATCGTCTGGTCCTTGTTGATCTGAAATCTCACTTTCTTCTGCTTCCTCCACTGCTTGTTGTTGTACTTCTTTCAAATATTAGAACGAAAAAGAAAAGCATCGTTAGTTAATATAAAGACTGTAATTTGTAAATCACCTTTACTCACGTTTTCAACTTCTTTGTTATGTCTTATAAAGAATTTCGATAATGCTTCTTTCGTTATATTGAATGAACGATATAAAGGACATTGACACGCTTCACTGTACGACATTTTTTTATTTAAACAATAATTCAGCATTTCCAGGTATAACTGCTTCAGGTCGTATTCTAAGCGTGGGCGGCCGACTGTACGTGTTTCCTTGACCTTAATCTTTCTCTTTTTTGGCATCTTTAAGGATATATCTAAAGAGAAAGGGAAGAAGAAGAAGGAAGCAAAAAAGATTGTATAATAGTTGAATGTTCTCATAGGTTAATTCAAAACAGCTAGAAAGACGTGAAAAGGTAGTGATTACAGACTTTTTCACATCGTCGCTAAATTATTGCAGATTCAGAAAATCGTTGTAATTTGAGAAAAAGTCAAAACTGTCGAAGTAGTTATACAGCGCAGGATAAAAAAGTAAAAATACGAGTATTTAGAATGAGCTCTTTCGAAACTATAGGTATTTCTAATTCAAACTTTAATAGAACATAGTTCATCTATATTTTCTTCATTTCTCCGTTTCTTTCTGTGTCCACTCTATTTTCATACTCTACTTCTATAAAAATATCGAGTCTAGAGGGCGTATCAGTGATAAACCGCCACTTTATTCGGTTCTATTCACACACCGCGGTGCAAACTGCATACCGGCGGTGACCACAGGTCACAAAAATAACCGTCGCTAAACCGGATGGTATAACACGCGGTTCGGTTCGTGAAATGTTTTGACTTCGAGGATTCACCAATCACTCGGATAAACGTTTCATGTAAGTGATCTCTGAAAGCAATGTTCTTTGTTAATTTGTTACTATGATTATATAAGTGGATTACATGCAAAAATGAAAACAATTTTGATTTTTAGTCTGTATTTTTGTGAATGATTTTGATATGATGTACCATTGTCGTCTAACTGTAATGTGTGTATATAGGAGCTAACTTCCCACCTTTTTCAGCATTCTTGATTAATCAGTAAATGGCGTTGCATAACTTCATCTATATTTAGCACTTCCGAACGTAACTGAGTAAACAAAATGAATCATATTTTGCATGAGAGGCTTCATCAGCCGAACGAGCAGCACCATTTTTCAGGGCTCATCAAGATCTATCGAACGGTGTAGAAATTGTTTTTCGTTTTTCTCCTTTTTTTCGTCCCAACGGTACAAATGACATGCATGTCACTCATATATGCACGTTTTCTCTCGTTTAGTATGTTGTTGGATGTGCGCGATTGCGTGTGTGTATGTCTGAATTAAGATAAAGAAAGAAATCAATCTGTCGATAAGTCGGTCATTTGCTGGCATCATCCGCCTCAACATCCTCTTCCCATCATCTTCGTCAGCTCCACCCTCATCCTCATCATCATTTCATTTTCCCCCTAATACCGAGCTTTTATCTAATCTGACGTTTGAGGCAATAAAAAGTAAAGTCTTGTCCTCGCAACACAATTTCTTATTTGCTATTGAAAACACATAATGTAACAGGTCATGGTCATCCGATCGAGCTCAAAAATGCAGTTAGTATATTCGATACGCACCATGCTCCGCACATATCTTTTTGTCAACTTCGCAAGGTACCAACTTTCCACATAAGAAGCAGCTAGACAGATACACTGGCCAGTTTAACTACCATCACTGGATGGAAATACAGACTGTAGTTGTTCGTTGAACATCAGTCAAACTCTAGTAATTCAAACACGTTGAAACCAAAATGAGAAGGGGGAATAATAGAAAGGAGTGTCGAGATAGTTTTCACATGGCTTTTTAATAAAAGAGTATATAGAGCCTATCTTCTACTCCTTTCTTTCTGAGAAAAAGGACAGGTGTCGAGCTAAGTCCATCATCCATTCTTTTTCTTTTCAGTATAAATGTATAAATGTGATCATTTCAAAGCGTTCCACCCCTCTCTCGTTCTTATATTACCTCTTCAAACAATAAATAATTGTACGGGTTACCTTTATCGTAAGTATAAGTTTAACAGTTTTAAGTTTGCTCCTTGGTGAAGAAATGGTATAACAAGTTCAGAATTTTCGTATTCATTCATGTCAAACCCTGAAAACTTACTTTCAATCTGAAAAAGGATCAGAGTCTTGACTATACGTGAAAGGAGAAGAACGAAATCACTTGGGATTTATCCACAGAGTTTCTTTTCATATGAAAATAACTTGAAAACAAAGAAGTTCCTTGCTCTGAATAAATGTCGAGTAAGCTGATTTGTACGAAAAAGTTTGCTCTGAGAAGTACTTATATTCGGAATTCAGCTAGGTAATTCTGAAAGTCTAAAGTCTACTAGTCAATGTGATATGTGTGAAAGGTTACTACCGTTCGCCTTCGTAAGAAGTAGTGAGTGGAGTAAAAGGTAGCTCAATCCCCATCTTGACATTACTACCCTGGCGCGGTTGATACTTTCGAAAGAGGAGCGTTTTCGTCGTCGGTCGATATACAGTTTTATCAAGATGGCACTTCCGAGAAGGCCGTGAACTGCCATAAACTTTTGAGCTCTGCTATTTTCCACTAAGGGCGAAACATATGTAACTGTAACACCCATTTTTTCGTGAAACCTAGTACACTATAGGTTATTCACTACGGGAGTTTTCCACTGCAGGGGTCTGGTTTTCCAGAAGACCGGGTCTTGGAAAAGCTATTAACAGAAATCACTATCATAGGCAGAGTCAGGGTAGTGAATAACCTATAGTGTACTAGGTTTCAAGAAAAAATCGGCGTTACCGTTGAATATGTTTCCTCGTAAGTTGGGACCACTACAGTAGAATAATCACTAAAAGGTTCGCACTACTGTTGAGACTTGATCAAACATTTATTATCTACTCCCTTTACCACAATGGCGTGTAGAATTCTAGCAAAAAAGTTCAGCTCTGAAATTTCTATTTAGAGCGTCACGCTGGTAGCCAACGCTGTTAGGACATTTTTGTTTAAAACTTCATTTCACAATTTCAGAGAGAATGACGCCGTTTCCCTGGCCACCAAATTTTCAAGCTTTTGCGTAAGAACTATGTTATGAGATGCTTGGGAAGATTTTCCCATGCTTAGTTTCGCGAAAGTCCGGTGGGTTTTGAGATCTGAGCTTACTGCAGAGGTTTTGGAAAACTTCTGGCCGCTTTTTGCCGGTTAAATCGCCTAGCCAAATCAAGTCAACTATGCTGATCATAAACATTTCCAAAGTGACAGAATAGATCAGACAAAAACTTTTCCTGAACTTGGTTTTTGTGGAAAAACGAGTTTTACAAGCCCTACCGTCTGTCTGCAGGGTGATTCTTTTGAAAGCGTACCACGTTTCTATCGACCACATTCAAATTATTCGAGAGTAAGAGCATTAGTACAACTCGAGCTCCTGATGATGAATATCACGTTTGAAAAGTTTTATAAGAGTCCTTTTTTGTAAACTATTTTTTCCCCATAAAAGCATACCAACATAAGACAACATGATATGTATTCGCTGCGTCCTTTCAAGCTCTATCAGATGCAGTGGTTAAAATTGAGATTAGAAAACACTTAATGCTAGAAAACAAGAACTTTGGAGGCGATTTTCCTCGTTTTTCAAAGTTTGAGTACGTGCTGCACCATTCTACAGGATGGCAGAACGTCGGATGACATACATTTGTAGCATGTACTTGATGTGGGCTGTTAGAAAAACAGGTTTTGGTCAAGGGCCAAGAACCTTCGAAACAGAGGGAAATTCTGTGGGATTTTCGCTGAAAAGCATCTTTTTTCCATCATACCGTTGCTTAAAAATTTTTTAAATGTGATATTCCCCATCACGAGCTCGAATTGTACTAGTTCTCTTCCTCTCGAACAATTTGGACGTGATCGATGGAAGCGGGGTATGTTCTCGAAAGAATCACCATGCAACTGGTGTGGGAAAAATCATAAACATTTTCGTAGATTCAGGAAATGTCACTCTATCGTGCCGCATCAAAACAGTTTTTTGCAAAGTACTTTACACAAAAATTTTATGAATATCGCCAAAACGCAGGAACCTAATTTCTGATGCCCTCGTCGAACGGAAAGCCAAGTTTGGAGCAACTCGAAAGTGTGTCTACCAGCGTGGCGTGCTTCAAGTCAAAACTCCGAAGTCGGAGTATTTAGCTATAAATCTATGCTCCATTGCGATTTTTACTACTTTCATACAACTGGAAAAGCCTCGTCCTAGCGCTTTTAACGTAAGCAGGTTTCAGCTTCCCAAGGTTTCGTGAAGTCAAATTTTATTGTTTTTTCCTGAAACATGCTCCACTTTATAGCGTTTGCAGCTTTTCGCTTTCGTCATCTTGTTTGACAAAAATGTTTCCGGATGACTGCTGTATTGCGAAATATAGGTGGACCATAAATACCTTTACGATAAAAGAATCTGAATATATCCATCCTGCTTTAGTCAGTTGGTCTAGTTTTTTATCGATGATAGAGAAGTGCTCAGAGTTTTTATTCATAGGAAAACCAATCAGTCGATACTATTTTTAACTGTCATTATTGATCTCAATAAGGTAGTGTAACGTTTCCGGCGTTCCGAAAAAAGGATATAGAATGGCCCCTGCATATTCCACGATTCCAACGTCAGATAACAACAAGAAAAAATAAAGGCAGCCTTTATTCAAGAGCACTGAACATGAAGCACAGAACGTAAAAGACGGCCGACAACATGCATCGGAAGACGAATGCATGCATTAATAAATTTTGTTAATGTTATTTTTTACCTGTGTAAGATGCTACACTGCCTTATTGAGGTTAATAATGACAGTTCAAAACAGTATCGATTAACGCTTTTTTTATGAATGAAAACTTCTATGATCCTGGGTATGTCTTATTGCCTTTTCATTACGACTGACACTGAGTTAAAGGCGTTGAGGGATCAGGTTGGACGAAGCTTGAGTTTGATTCAACAAACGAACTAAAAGAGAAAAGGAATAGTACGGCAAGTCGGATCGAGACCTGGACCCGCCTTAGGCAACTTGATTCGGGCAAAAAAGTTTTATTCAATAAAATTTCACCTAAAATTTGATCCGCTGATAATTTAGTTATGCGATGTATGTGCAAGCACAGGTGAAAAAATTTTGGTGCTAAAGTTAT